GGCAGGCAACATTTTATTGGCAACAGGTGCAACTTGTTGTGAGGCACTTCTGTTGTCTGCAGTAAACAATAATACAAAATTTAGTCTGAACAACATTATTTATAGTTTAAAAAAAAGGGAAATTCTGATAGAAAACTGATGCTTCCATGCCAATGGTGATTTTTTACATTTTAAACTGGTCTGCCCTGGTTATTTCATGGAAATATCTTTATGAAATTCGAGTTCACAGCAAATCTCCAATATAACTTAATGAAATATTCCCAGCCACATTAGCAACCCAGCCATGCAAAATGTGTATAAAATGTACACACTGTACTTTTGTTCATTTCAATTTAGACAAATACATCATGTTTTAAAACAACAATAACATATACTGGCTCAGCATTCATTGTGTTATAGAAAATGAAATGTAGCCTCTTACCATTGTCACATGGTATGCCGACTTTAAAAACTGAGTGCTTGCCAAGTCTTCTATTGTTCTGCCATAGTATATTTTCTGTTTCGTGTCCTGAAACTAGAACCTAGAACAAAAGTGTCCTCACATCACATGCAGGCCATGCTTATATTGTACCCCATGGCCAGGTACATGTGTTAGGCTCAGATTCAACCTCACTTATTTAAACCCAGACCTCTGGTCCTCCAAGCTGCTCCGTAAACCTCCATCTGACATGTTGTCTGCTTCAGGCACAACAGGTCCTTCCCCTTTATTGACAAATGTAAACACTACATGATTATGTTTCTTGTCGTGGATAATTGTGGTCCCAATCGTTTTAGCCAAGCATTTGTAACAGAGGGCGTGTCTGCAGATCAGAAATGTTCCTGTACCTGAAAGATATTCATAGGAGTCAGGACATTGTGTGTCCACCTGTCTCCTTTTTGAACCTCAACAATTCTTACCTACAATAACTACTACAGAAAAGTAGACTTCTCGTACTAATAGAGTGAACTTTACTCCAAATTCCTCTTTCCTCAAGACTTTCTTTATTTTTAAGTGGACCAGGGACCACAAATGAAATCCTACAATGCTTAGTTTTCTCTGATTTTTAGGTGTTTTGGTGTGATAGAACTGACTGCTGTGTATTTATGGCACAGGATATGAATTAAACAGGCAATGACTTCTGATGATAAAAACTAAGATCGAAATTAAGTATCAAAAACTGCTTTTTTTTTTAAGACCTCTGAGGGCTGGCTTCCAATTTTTTAGACTCCTAACTTTAAAATAAACACTTTTAGGACTGGTTTGAAAAGTAATTTTATTATCTATAGCGTATATATAATTTCATGACAACTAATTACATGTTTAACTGTATTAGGACTTGAGGCTGCTGTACCTTAAAAGTTAGATGGCATTAGATGACAAAACTGTGCAAAAACCATAATGTATGATGATACACTGATATTTACAATTTTCAACTTACACTGATTGTATGTATTTTAACAATCACTCCCAATCAGTACCATCAAATGGTCATTAATTCTTTCCAAAATGTCTTTCCAAACTTCATACCCAGCTGAAATGTGGTGTTTATTAGTCTCAAATGAGTGACCCATGACAAAGGACTGCTAAGTCCTGTGTTTCAAGGCAACTTTCAAGGCTATATAAATAAAACTGATTTGAATTAAGTTGAATTTACCCAAAACTCAATAGAATATACTGTAATTTATGCACAGATATTTGTTGCATCTACTGAGTTTGTGGATTTATTCATTCATGTCAGTGCACATATGTGTCAGTTAATGACATACATGCACATACTGGTCAAGCAAGTTTGTTCTCAGTGAAGACAGTTAACACATTGTGTTTGGGTCAGGTTTAACCTGTTTTGATATTTGACAGCAGCAGAAACTGTGTTATTCTTTCAGCCCGAAATAAGACTATTCTGGGTCAAATTTAACCAGCATCTATTTGAAAGCTTTTTAGATCCAGTCAGTGTTAAATTAAGGACATTGGGACTTTAGATGAATCTTGAAACTTTTTTTCAATGGGTTCCTGCAGAGACATCTGCTGGTCTTTCAAGGGTCATGGGTGAATCTACAAACAGTGTTGCTTATAAGCAACAGAGGTCATATGGAGGTTAGAGAGTGTCTTGACCCAGAGATGTGATCTGAAAAAGGGTGGCATGGTAGTAGAGTAGTTAGCACCATCACATCACGGTAAGGTGATTTTTTTAGTTAAATAACAGCAGGGTCTTTCATCCATTTATTCTTAAATAAGTTAGATTAAAATTATAGTAATTATTGTGTGACAATAGTTGCTTTGTCTAAAAGTGAATTGTAAAACCTTTAAATAAAACTACTAAAACAAATACTTTTAACTTGGCATAAAGAAATGTGTCAGAAATATGTCACTACCAGGGACATCCTGTAGAGGGCATAGCTTAACTCATTAATGAACCTGCCTGAATTGGCACTGATGTACGAAATTTAACGGATGATATCTAATGGAGATGTATAAAGATGAGCATGGTAAACAGAGTAGATAAAACACAGCAACAGGAACAGAAGAGGAATTTTGATAGAAAAAAAAATTGCAAGGTTTCAGGTGGAAAAGTGGGACTGGGAACATTTCACCTTGACATCGTTTACTTTGAACTTATCTGTAAACAGATGTATTGTGTGTGTGTGTATATATATATATATATATATATATAAAATTGAACTTCAATCATGTTAAAGGCTAACTTTGGATAACTTTGCATACTGAGTCAGATTTATTCCTAAGAAAGTTATTTTATTATAGTTTATGATTTATGAAGCAAATCTTTTCAAAACCTCTTTACTACAAACTTGACATTAATGTAGTCATAAAATATAGCAAATACTTGTGTGCACTTATATTGGTGATATGATTCTCCCATCTTTCTCTCCATCTTAAAACATCAAGTACTCTACATTCAGATATTTTTCAGATATCATTGTCCTAAAGATGACAGGATCCCCCTGAAACAGAAGAGGGCAGTGTAGTATGATGTAAACTTGTGATTTCACAAGCATTTGAAGCAATCATCAAGTAAAGACAGTTACATTTTTCAGTTACAAACATAATTTGTTGGCCACAGCGATTCATAAAACAATGAAAAGAAACAGTCAAAACATTTTTTTTTTCCTTTTTCCAGTCATTACTGGAAAAGGTCAAACTATAAAATATTAAATATTAAACATAATAAATAATCGTCGGTTTTCCTGATAGCAGCTCGTTGTGGGGCTTCCCATTCACAGGTCCTCTGGATGGAGACTGGATTGATGCATCTGCAGACAGAAACAATGTTATAACAAAATGTCTGAGGGACGAGGACAAGCTACGAGTTAAAGTCAGCACGAGCTGACTCAGCTCATTAACTCTCTCCTTTCAACTGTGTACATCCAACAAGTCAAACGCAACAGGGAAAAGAAGAAAAGAAACTACAGAGCATAGTAAATAAAGTCTTACCGTTATCACAAAGTGAGGCAACGTGTCAGTCCTGAGAATGGATGTTGGAGTCTGCACATCCTCATAGGTGACTCACCAGAAGCCACACCGAAAGCCACACCAGTGCGCTCAAACAAATCATCACTACCACGCAAATGCACACGGATTTGGTGACCCGACACTCGGGAGGTTCAGCAGGAATTCCGACAGCAGTATCGCTGCATGTCGTTGGTCTCACGTGGTCGCTGATTATGAAAACCTCAGACCCATTCCTGTATGTTACCGTTTGGTCGCTGCTTCGGCGAGAAAGTCTCCTCAAATGATGCATCATCCAGTTTTCTACACGCAACACACCGACTATGGAGGCCCTCGACGCCAGCACAAGATACCCCATCGGGAGAGGAAGAGCCACCCCCTGTGTGGTGTCCACATCTGCAGCCAGGGT